AAAAGTGTTCATTAAATTACTGTTACATATCGCTAGTTAATATCGTGTGTACTGTATATATCTCGTTACTTTATTGTACTAAGTTTATTCCCTCCTTTAAAGTAACCAATATTTATTTTGTATTATATCATAAATAATATTTGTCTTTACAAAACTGAAAGATTTACATAATTACTTGTATAATTTCTATATACATTGTTTAATTATAAAAGCTAATAAAAATGTATAAATATTGCTCGTTAAGTATGGATTATAAATAATTTGTGAAAAATTATAAAAACTTAGATATCCAAAGATACAGGTACTGACCATATAAACGTGAAAATTTGTATGCAAAATTTGTACTAGTACCTTATGCGTTTAAATATTACTAATGGCAAAATATTGCCACTCGTTATTCAAGATATTTCTTTGAGTCGAACGAATTTTGGTATCTTTTTAATATCGTCTGACTGAAGGAATGATATCACTTGCTTCTTAATATATATATATATATATTTATTTCATCAGTTATTTATTTCCTATTTGTTTTCAGCCCATGGCTAGACATTAGATGTCATTGTGATTTCATTGACACAAGTTTACGTGCACGTGCTCGTGCCTCTGTACGAATGTTCGTATACTCGAACCAGAGAATATTAGGAATTAATGTTGTGTCACGTAACAATAGGTACTCTGATATCCGCCTGAAATAATATTATAATATTGTAGCTTTTATACTATACGTTGAATAGAATTTTCATTGTGCACACTGTTACCTACCATGAAACAATGTAAGGAAAAATTGGTATAAACACTACATGCATTATTATAAACCATACTACTCCCAATATAATTCCTATGAGTGCACCATATAGGACTTGAGAAATAGAATGGTATAACAAATAAACCCTACTATATGTCACTAAAAGAGAAGCAAGTATACAAGCAACCACAGTAGCAATTCTCCAGAATCTTTCAGAAACAGTACTATTGTTATTGTGATGCAACCTAGAAATAGGAAAACATTAAAGGATAATTTTTCTGAATATTCACAAAGAAAAATATAAATTACCTGATGCATATAAAAAGTGTTGTATATGCAGCAAAAAACCACATAAACTGTGCATGCATTGATGGCATACCATATTCAACAAAAACAACATCACGTCTCATTGGTCTTGCTTGGCAAATTGTATGTTTTAATACAAAATTTATGAAGTCATTTATTATAATACCGCTAAAAAATGTGATCTATAAACAGGAAAACAGGTATGTAGTTCCACTTGTAAATGAAAAATATAATTGTTCGTTATAAGTTTGTTACTCACAGTTTGCAAGTCTCTTCTAAATAGGATCAATGTTATGAAACCAGCTATAATAGCAAATGGTGCTAGACTTATCAGAGCTAAGAATTTTCCAAAAAGGTCACCTGCAAAAACAGTAATTATATTAGAACAACTAGATTAAATGAGGATAACGAAATATGAAAATCAACATCTGTGTGTGTGCCAGATGTTTATAAATGTGTCTTTTTAACCAAAATGTTTTAATCGATGTTCCAAATGGTTAATTAAACAGTAATCATGTGTAAATTTCTCTAATATGACACTAATTTCATTCTCAGAGCTTAAAATTTGAAAAATGCTAAACATTGAATGGAGAATCAAAAGTAATACTGTCCAAATAATGTGTCTTTTAAAAAATAGGAAAATAGAAGTATTAATCTTCGAAATTTACATACATTAAAAACGTCGACAATTTGTATACACTTTTTTAGGACATCGAAAGATACTTACCCTGGGGATACTCGACTAGAGTAAGAGACAAGGGAATCCATTCTGTTTTTTGCATATTATCCCCGAAACGTGTGTTAAGTTCGAGAAACGAATCGTCGTCTAATGTTGCCATGTCATCGAAATTTTGGAAGTGACCATAACTCGAACAGCTCACCGTGCAGCAACAATCATGGAATCCATCCACAGACCGCTACGCTACCAGCAGCTACCAGTTATCGGCTATCAACTTCATTGTACATATGTATAATTATACAGTAGTCTTCCAATTCAAGAACCTTTTCCTCTTCCTCTAGAAGAGCCTTTTTATACACATCATTCTACTGCACATCCAATCTACAGTGAATCCTGTCTTAGCATTGAGTTGTTAGCCAATCAGAGCAGAGCAATTTTTACTCCTATTACCGCTAACGAATCAAGTTGCGGCCGGAGAGGTTTACAGGAGCTGTGGTATCATTGTATAAATTGCATAGTGAGAATGTAACAAATTGAGAACACCTGACATTGAAATTGATACTTTTCGTTACTCGAAGCTACAAAACTCTTGGCTGTCTAAAACATTTAATTACCGCGATTTAATCTCTGTCAAACAATGAATTTTATTATCTAATCGTTTCTACATCAATAAAAAAAAAGGTGCTCTTAAATCAGAGGTTCTTGTTAGAATAATCTTTAATCGAACTTAGATAAGTACATATTTCTTGGTTGGGATTGGATTAATCTTCGTGGTGTAGTGTAGCTTAGCTACATAAACAGATCAACTCTTTATATGTATTCTCTTCTGAAAACGTGTTTATCGAATAATACTATAATCTGTGTTTAAAAAATGTTCGAATTAATCGGCACAGCGAACGTCGAACTATGACGCTATGACGTGTCCCGTCACAGTAGTCATCCATGGTCATATGTACATCAATTGCATCAATGCCTCCTCCCCCTTCGATCACACTGTATATGTATAGAAAAGTTTTCTTGGGATGTTTAATCTGCGATTACAATTTCAAGCAGTGTCTCCACCTAAGCCCTAGATTACTATAATTTTTAAGTAATAAATTCTTTTCTTGTTTTTTTTATAGCGTTTTCTACATATTTAAATATGGCATGGACACATTACCAATGTAACTTAGCCGTGCTTATGGTCATTACTGGATCATTTAATACTTTGTCCGTTAAGTGAGTACTCGATTGCAATTAATCGAAGAAATAAGATTTAAATCTTCCATATATCAATATACTTTTCGATCTGTTAGGTACGCAGATCAGCAAGTTGTGGAAAGCGAAGATGGCCAACTTAGGCACTTCAATCATCCTTTCATGCAATCTGCCTTCATGTTCGTGGGAGAGATGCTATGTCTTCTTGTATTCAAAATAGCATATAATTATTGTAAACGAAGAAACGTGAGTACCGTCTATTATATACTTACAGAATCATAGTATGTTTGGTATTAAAAGTTTTTAATTACAGAACGGCTCTTTAGATGACAATCCTTTAACTAAAGGGTCACGAGTATTCAACCCCATGATTCTACTAATTCCTGCATTATGCGACGCTTTTGCCACCTCGATTGTGTACATTGGCTTAAATATGACATATGCAAGTAGTTTTCAAATGTTACGTGGTTCTGTTATAATATTTACAGCTATACTTTCAACAGTTTTTCTTGAAAAAAGACTTGAAAGTAGAGAGTGGGCTGGCATAGGCATGGTCATAATTGGTTTAGCTCTTGTCGGGCTCAGCGATGTACTATCTATGAAAGATACGGATATGAACATAAACTCTATCATAACTGGAGATTTACTTATTATCTGTGCACAGGTAAAATTGTATTTGACAAGATCTTGTTACAATTTCGGCGATTCTTACAAATTCTATCGTAAAATGAACGTTATTGCTATTATAGGTAATAACAGCTATGCAAATGGTGGTGGAAGAAAAGTTTGTAGTTGGTCAGAATATACCAGCGTTACAAGCAGTAGGATGGGAGGGTATGTTCGAACGATTTGTTTCTCAAAGAGATAGCATTTAAACAAATACTTTCTCTTCAGGTCTGTTGGGATTGACTACCATGTCTATATTAATGATTCCACTGAATTTTATACCTGCTACACCACCATTCGCTGATAATTCTCAAGGTACACTCGAAGCCACTAAAGATGCATTTGTTCAGATTGGAAATAGTGGCCGTTTGCTGACAGCAATACTTGGTCAGCATTTTTATTAATACTTAATTGGATACACCTCGTAAACGACGTGGTTAATATAATTGAAGAATTAATGTTATACGTTACCTTTTTGTATAGGTATGGCACTCAGTATAGCATTATTTAATTTCGCGGGTATCAGCGTTACCAAAGAAATGAGTGCCACTACAAGAATGGTTTTAGATAGTGTTCGAACTTTTGTTATTTGGGCTTTCTCGTTGGCAGTTGGGTGGCAAGCATTTCATTATTTGCAAGTAAGTTATCCACTGTTTACAGTTTGCTATTAGTTTTATTGTATATACATATGTATTCTGTAATACACACACACACACACACACAGACACAGGGTCATCAGAATTTAATGTAATTCGTACATTGTTTCCTTATTTTTTTCAGCTTATTGGCTTCATCACTTTGTTCATTGGAATGTCGTACTACAATAATGTTATTGTTCCACAACTAGGAAGGAAATGTATATATTTATTAGGTCGTCACAAACCACCGCCAAGCGAACGAATTATTAATATAGCTGCCGACGACATTCCAGAAACTCAATAAAATCAAAGTTTCTTTTTAATTACTTCGTGATATGAAGCTCTATTCTTTCTCGTTTCTCTAAAGAACGGTAAAGCCTGTGATCGTAATATTATGAAATGAAATGGATGAAATTTGTTCGCTTCTCTTTATAAAATCAATCATTACATTGAAAGTGCTAAATGGTTCTTGATAAGATCGATCAAANAAAAGTTTTTAATTACAGAACGGCTCTTTAGATGACAATCCTTTAACTAAAGGGTCACGAGTATTCAACCCCATGATTCTACTAATTCCTGCATTATGCGACGCTTTTGCCACCTCGATTGTGTACATTGGCTTAAATATGACATATGCAAGTAGTTTTCAAATGTTACGTGGTTCTGTTATAATATTTACAGCTATACTTTCAACAGTTTTTCTTGAAAAAAGACTTGAAAGTAGAGAGTGGGCTGGCATAGGCATGGTCATAATTGGTTTAGCTCTTGTCGGGCTCAGCGATGTACTATCTATGAAAGATACGGATATGAACATAAACTCTATCATAACTGGAGATTTACTTATTATCTGTGCACAGGTAAAATTGTATTTGACAAGATCTTGTTACAATTTCGGCGATTCTTACAAATTCTATCGTAAAATGAACGTTATTGCTATTATAGGTAATAACAGCTATGCAAATGGTGGTGGAAGAAAAGTTTGTAGTTGGTCAGAATATACCAGCGTTACAAGCAGTAGGATGGGAGGGTATGTTCGAACGATTTGTTTCTCAAAGAGATAGCATTTAAACAAATACTTTCTCTTCAGGTCTGTTGGGATTGACTACCATGTCTATATTAATGATTCCACTGAATTTTATACCTGCTACACCACCATTCGCTGATAATTCTCAAGGTACACTCGAAGCCACTAAAGATGCATTTGTTCAGATTGGAAATAGTGGCCGTTTGCTGACAGCAATACTTGGTCAGCATTTTTATTAATACTTAATTGGATACACCTCGTAAACGACGTGGTTAATATAATTGAAGAATTAATGTTATACGTTACCTTTTTGTATAGGTATGGCACTCAGTATAGCATTATTTAATTTCGCGGGTATCAGCGTTACCAAAGAAATGAGTGCCACTACAAGAATGGTTTTAGATAGTGTTCGAACTTTTGTTATTTGGGCTTTCTCGTTGGCAGTTGGGTGGCAAGCATTTCATTATTTGCAAGTAAGTTATCCACTGTTTACAGTTTGCTATTAGTTTTATTGTATATACATATGTATTCTGTAATACACACACACACACACACACAGACACAGGGTCATCAGAATTTAATGTAATTCGTACATTGTTTCCTTATTTTTTTCAGCTTATTGGCTTCATCACTTTGTTCATTGGAATGTCGTACTACAATAATGTTATTGTTCCACAACTAGGAAGGAAATGTATATATTTATTAGGTCGTCACAAACCACCGCCAAGCGAACGAATTATTAATATAGCTGCCGACGACATTCCAGAAACTCAATAAAATCAAAGTTTCTTTTTAATTACTTCGTGATATGAAGCTCTATTCTTTCTCGTTTCTCTAAAGAACGGTAAAGCCTGTGATCGTAATATTATGAAATGAAATGGATGAAATTTGTTCGCTTCTCTTTATAAAATCAATCATTACATTGAAAGTGCTAAATGGTTCTTGATAAGATCGATCAAATTAGTGAATATTTTTCATTAGTGTATTGAACGTTATTTTTCATTTGCAACAAGTATTTCATACTTGTGTACATGCGTATTCTTTTTTTACCGGCAACCTTTGACTGCTAATCAATGTATAAATATTTTTCAAACGTTGCAAGATTAAAATAAAAATTGAGATACTACTATGGTTTGTAATTATATTTGTATGAACATAAAACCTAGTCTTTGCTTGCATTTTGTAGAAAGATTGTACAAAACACATTTTGTTGAAGACCATTAAGATCGAGAAATAATTATTACATCGTTATTATTTTATTAGATACTTTCGAAAATACTATTATTTTATACTATACTTTTATTTATGAGAATATTTGCACAAGATAACCATTTTTACATGTTATTCATGATTAACAATCATTTTATAAATTTTAGTAGGGCTAAATAAATAAAACTAAAAATAGCGCTTAAATGTTGGACATGTTTTATTTTGTTTTTGTTTTTTTTGTTTTGTTTTTATTGCATACTTTTAGCCATAAAAGGAAAACTGCTTTGTGCAACGAATTGTTACTGTAGCATTGTACACATATATAATATGTGCATGTTAGAATATATTGGTACGCACGTGTGTAAAAGCATTCATGTATGCACATACATACAAAATGCTGATATATTTTTCATACAAAGCTTCTCAAATATGTAAATATTTGTATTTTGATAAATCGGAAAAGATATATCTTGTGCTGGTACCGATAAATATTGTTCATAATAGCTAACATATTAGTACTCCACTCTTGAACTAAATAAAAAAGAAAATGCTCCGTTGGAATGTTCTCCTTCAAATACACGAATTAACTCTTACTATTTCACGGTTTCGTTAAAGTTTCTGTTTTCAACACCGTTTTCATCGCTGGCATCTATATTACATATAGAAATTTTCGTCCGCAGCATCATCGAATATAACTTCGATTCTCAAGAATGAATAGAATTACGGTGGACTACACAACAACTTTTAATTACCTGTACCTAAGTAAATTAATGGTGTCTTTACGACTATGAGCAAGCACGTACGACACGATCGTTACAGCTATCGAAACCTTAAATGAACTCGTAACATTTATTATGCGTTTACGATAGACAATGCGAATGGAAGATGAACTCAATTGTATTGTTCTGGCAATACGTAAGAAATATCATCCCATGGGTGTCGGTACAAACCTTGTTTCAACCTCTTTTGATCCATATAATGACCTGCAGCGATTAAACGTAGTATTAGATGTGCGAGTCCAATAATTACGCCTAGTAATACCAGTATTTGGAAAATGTTTTAAGTAGAAAGTACGTACCGATGAAACCTATGCTCCTGCCAAGAACGAATAGACTATTTATAGCACCAATCTCGATATACTCTTGTGCTTCTTCTCTAGTAAAGCTACCACTTTTCCTCAACATATCCACAAAGGCGCAGGCAATAATGCCATCCACGTTAAGAATTAAATTAGGTTTCTTGCTTGTGGTTATCTTTTCAACTTCCAATGCATATTCGACTAAAGGCCTCGCCGGGAAGTTCTCCATTACGAATTCTTTGATAAGTTTCACTCGCATGTCTGGATTATTTATAGACTTTATACGATGACCAATACCCATAATCAATTTCCCCTTCTTACGTGTATTGTTTACAAATTCTTGTGGATGCAAACCGGCATCGTAGGCCTCGGAGAACATACGAGCCGCACCATCCAATGCTCCACCAAAACGATCACCCTATCAATACGATTACAATTATGTTTACAATTACATTTACAACTATTATATGTATAGCAGATTACGTTTGGTTCACTTACGATAGTCAATAGGCCGGATACCAGCGAGCTAACTAGATCTTTGCCAGCTCGAGCGCATACGATAGTGTTGTGTGCTCCCGATACTGCAGGGCCGTGGTCGGCCGTTAACATCAAAGACATTTCCAGGAACTTACAATACATAGCCGGCAAGCACCGTTGGAACCATAAAAGCGAAACTACACCACCAATTCCCACGTTCTGTTTTAACACTTCGGTTACAGGCATTCCGGCATATAGTAATTCTTGTCCACGTTCATCGCAGATGGATGTCATGAACGAAGCTGGCTTTCTTATCAAGCCAAGTTCCTACAGCAAACAATTACATCATCATTGTTCCGAGTAATTGCCAGAAAATTTGAAGAACCCTATTTGACAAGTCAGCTTATATTATATTACCCTGGCCCAACTGTAATCCATTGGAACGGTTGGCGGTGGGACCTCCGGTTCCGGAATAATCGCCCCTTCTTCGACGAGCTTCTCGTACACAGTGTGCATCAATTCTCCGAGCGTGTCGAAACTGTTAGGCACATAAGCACCGGCAATTTTCAACGCGGCATTCTTAGCAGATGCTGTTTCCAAGTTGCTGTGCGCTATTGATCCGGCATGGCCAAACTGAACCTCGGAATTGAACATACTGGCACAGGTACCGATACACCAGGCGATCAATGGCTTCGTAATTCTCTTGGTTTTCAGCGCATCGCATACTTCGTACTCTTCCACACCACCGACTTCGCCCAAGAGAACTATGAGCTTCACTTCTGGGTTTTCTTGGTACCGCATTATGTGATCCATAAAAGTAGTTCCCGGGTAACGATCACCGCCAATTGCAACACCTTCCAACACTCCGTTCGAAGCTTTGGAAATGATATTGTTCAATTCGTTGGACATGCCGCCGGAACGAGAAACGTAAGCCACACTAAACAACACGATTTTCTTTTCTATAACAGCAGGCACGTAGAAACGGACTTTCAAGGTATTAAGTATTTTGAACGAGCCAATTTTTACCTGCCAGGCCTGTAGAGTTTACTATGAAGAATATTGTCCATCATTCCTCCAGTATTGCCGATCTTGAAACAACCAGGCTTCACACCGCCAACGGTAGCAGGGCCAATAATGCTAACGCCTTTCTGTTGTGCCATTAGAATCAGTTTTCTTGTCATGTTTTCAGGTATACCTTCAGCAATGATAGCAATTGTTCTGATTTGAGGGAATTGCATTGTTTCAGCCGCGCTTTCGTAAGCAGATCTCAAGGATGCGAATGTGACCATAACATCGGCGTCCGTGTGTTTAGCCATCGCATCCTTCATCTGTTTGTAAACAGGAATCAGCACCTGTTTACGCATAAAACGATATCATTTAGAGATTTCGATTAATCCGCTGCGTGCTTATCAATCAGTCTCCGTTCAAGATAATAAAGAAAGTAATTCTGGACGTGTACCTCTTTGTGGCCCCAGTAAAATTTTTGTTTATGATCACCCGTAAACGGATACACGATAGCAGCTACAGACGGTTCAGATCTACGACAAACAAAGTCGAAGTCTAACATACTTTGAACAGCTCTGGTTTGCATTCCCCAAATGATGGCCCTTGTTTTATTACTGAAAAGTTGTTTATTTGCGGATCCATCAACGGATTCGCTTGCTTTTAATTTCGGTTGTTTGGTAGGTGAACAAGAAGTACTTTTCGAAGGGGCTGTGGGACCAACATCCTGTCCAGAGGGTAGCAAAAAGTTTGCGGTGGAAAATTCTTGAGTCTCGGGATCGGGAATCGGTTTCTTGCCCAATGCCATCGCGCATATAGCCGTCATGTGAGTTTCAGGACCGAATACGTAAACAGGGATGCCAAGCCTTCTACCAACCTCGCGTATAATTCTAAAATTCATTAACGTTAACGTTAGGTTTCATGAATGTTCGCGTAGCTCTTGTAGCAGCTTTTAATAATTATGTGTGTCGTACCTCAGTCCCTCTTGATAGTTAGGCCCCGCTCTTCTTACGAATATTTGTATATTGTGGTCTACGAGCTTCGGCTGATACTCTTGTAATGCCTTGACGATACCCTTGAAGGTCGCGGCTACATTCGTAAAATTAGCAATACCGCCACCGATTATCAATACCTTTCCTTCTGTGCGTTTCTCTTTTGTCATCAAACCCAATATAGTTTTCGCATAATCGTAAGTTTGTTGCTCACTAGGTGCACCTGAATATTCACCGTAATTAGCCAGTTCATTCGCAGCCCCCAAATCACAAATCGTGTCCGAATAGATGACGGATGCCCCTAAAAAGAGAATACGTTGAAAATATAAAATAGGTAGATGCAATACCGATCCCGTTAAAATAAGAGTTAACGATTTGACAATCACAATTTGATTAACGATTAATCACGTAAATGATACTGCTGTGCGCTTCTACTGACCACCGCCAGCAACCATTGTCCATATCCGACCAGCTGGATTAAGAATGGTTAATTTCAAGCTAGCTCCAGATTTGGCATCTAGATCAGCGATATAGGCCTCTTCGGGGTAAGCATCCCGTCCAAATGGTGGCGGGTAATCAATTTCTCCCCAGTCTGGTCTGCACACAAAGTCCGCGGTCGTATCCAATTTCGCAGCGAGATCCAATATATAAATTCCATCGTCCGTTACTACCAATGGATTTATTTCCAAGTACGTGAAGTATAAATTAACATAAAGCTTATACAGAGATTCTATAAATTTGGCAATAACCCTGAAAAAAGACAATCATATTATTTATGGAAAGCACTCTCGATATAAAATAATACTTTATTATTTAGAATGTACTCTTTCTTATCGTTTGCTACATTCGTTAATAGCTTTTCCATTAATGTAGTTTCATCCGGCAATCCTTCTCCAACAGGTACCTCTAGTTTCAAAGCTTTCGCGTCAACATCTCCAATATCGACGCCACCTTCGTGATGAAATAAAATAGTGTCAGCTTTCCGATGGGAATAGATACAGACGTAAGCTTCCTCTTCCTACAGTTTATAATACATTATGATCAACTGCCATATTATATGCAACAATTCTATGGGCAATGATAAACGCTTACCTGTTTGTGGGGAACAAAAGGCTCAATGATAAAAGTTCTAAGTTTTCCAGTTGCTTTTCCAATTTGTTGATCCTTGTTCATTCTGTCTGCGATCCATTGCTTTGCTGTAGCCAAGTTTACATCTACTTTAATCAAACCAAGCTTTCCACGTCTTTTAATTAATTGATCAGGTTTTACAACCAGTTTCTCTGACTTTAGCCATGGATTGTTGTTTACAATGTCTGCCCAATTTGTATGTTCTGTGATGCTCACGAATCTACATTGTACTGCATTTGTGCCAGAAGGAAGTTTACGATTAATTAAATCCTTTCCTGTTGCCTCACGAATCGCTTTCGCTGACATCTTTTAAATTTCTGAAACTAAATGAGTGATTTTCAATAATTTATAGTTTAGGTACAAAAAATACAAATATTGAAGTATAATAAAGTAATACTTTTAATTGACGTATCTAGTTAAAATATTCTAACAATAAAATACGTGGCTATCAGAACTAAAACAAATAACAGTTAAATTCTATGAACACTCTATGAAATATATAAACATTTAATTCTCCAAATTGAATCTATTTTATCTTATAATACCTTCAGATCTGCAAAGGCTAACAAATAATACTCAAACACTGCTCAAATCTTTTGAACGAACTTGTGTTTGTTCTTTCTCTAAATCATGCATTGTTCAAAATTATTCTGTACTTGACACGATTTGCCATTTGAATAGCATATACATTTTTGTATGTGTTATACAACTTCTATGTATACAATTTGCAAAATATATGGATAAATGAATTTGCATCAAATGAAATTCATAACATGAAATTCTCGTAAAACAAGGTTATTGATCAACGATCGTACTGACATTAAAATTACAATTTACAATGAGATTCATATTTGAGACGTACGTAACGTAATTTGTAATTTCTGATAAAATAAGAACTACGTCGTGAAATTGCAGATATCGTAGAATTTCTTTTAGTCCATTAGAAGAGAAATTTGAAATGTGTACAAAGCGAATACTTTCACTTGAACTCTCTTTCTCTTTCTCTCTCTCTCTCTCTCTCTCTCTCTCTGTTACTTTGCAACGTGTCGTTCACATGTAATCCTATTTGATTTTTTCATTCCTTCATATTAATCGTATCATATTGACCGTCAATAACATTAACTTTTTCAATTAGGACACGATACATATATGCCATAGACACACGCAAACAATTTACTCGACACTAAACTAGAGACTAGCGACTAGAGACTAGGAATACTAATCGATATTCAAAACGAGAAATGAAAACACAATCACTCACTAGAAAAGATTTAATATTCGATGGTAAAATAGATGGATGTAAAACGGGTTGACCTTAACCTTCACACGGGTATATATTTCCTAACCTACGAGATTTGTAGAGAATGAGGAAATATCGAAAGAGAAACGTCCACCCCACACTGCTGCTAGCGGTTAACTGAACGTTCAAAGTGACACCATGCGCATAAGTAACGCCGAGAACTCACGATATCTCGCGATATCGTACGATTCTACTAGTTTTTTTTCTCACGGTCGGTCATTTTAACCTATTTTCATTATTCCTTTTGCCATTATGCGTTCTATTCGTTTACATTTAAAAAGATATATCATAAATGTACATATGTACATTACTTTAAACATTTCGAATCTGTAAACCTGATAACTGTCATAGCGCGCGAACAGTTTGAAATAAATGATATATTTTAAAATTACAGTCGATATGTTGTTCGATTTCGTGTTATTCTAATTCTGATATCAAACAGAATCGTATAAGTTCAGAGAATCATACGAGGATTAAGTAGTGATCACGTGACCGTAATACGATTTCCGCATAACACGTGGACAGAGTAAAGGTTTTCAAACTCTTTCATTATCTGATAATTTCATCGGATAAGTAATGTTGTCAAAATTTATTCGAGACGAAGTATTTCGTCGAAACACTTGGAGATATTTACGGAAAAAGAACTTACATATAGTATGCGTTTGTAGACGTAGATATGTATATAAGGTATGTATATTGTATTTATACATATGTATACTAAAAATATAAAATAGGGAATAGATTCGACATATTTTGTACTTTTTGGAAGGGCACTGACAAGTATGTGTAAGTGCTATTATATGCATAAATGGCCACTTCATGACACTTTGCGACCGTTACGTTTCTCAAATGCCTTCGGTATAATGCAGCGCTTCTCAAAGCGATTAGCGTCAATTAACCTGTTAAATAATTCAATAAACTGTACCATTGTATTTCTTTATTGTGCAATGAAATTTGTATTTAATGAAAGTGATTTTTGAACTCGACAGGAATTAGCTCAAATTAGGCTACAATAGCTTCATGGAAAATCTCCACTTATCTATCCACTTCTTGTAAGCATCTCCTTCGTACAAGTACATACAACCTTGACCTTTTTGAACAGCTAGAAAAGCTGGATTTGATTCGTCTAACAAGCAAAACGTGAAAATTAATTCTTTAATTTGTCGAAAACAAATTGAAATACATGACACCTTTTGATTCGCGTGTATTCGATCAAATTTATCAAAGTTACAGATATGTATGTACCTGGTACGTGTTTCCTCAGTATTTGACTCGAACTTTGATCCGACGAAGATATGCATAGATTATGTAAAGTGAATCATTATTGGCTTTTTTTATTCTGATAAATTTTTGCAGCGTTTTTCAAGTCCTCTAATATGTAAGAAAGGTAGGATGAGGTGGGATTTCTTGCACAAAGAATTAGCATTTGCTATGTCATGACAGAGTAGTAGAATCCTCGTGTACTTTGTTTACGATTAAACAATTGAACGTGAAAAAAAGAAATTCAGCAATCGCAGATAATTCGGTTTATCATTTTAAATGAATGAAACTTTAGAAATACGTTATTCGAGTCGTTCATATTAAAATGCATACTATATTAGAACAATTTTGCATACGGAAGGAAAAAATACGGTCAAATAGCATTTTCTCACGGTCGAATAGTAGTAAACGTTATTAATAATTGATAATCTAGACGGCGCGTAACATGTTAAATGATGCAATAGATCGCTTAAAGAAATATGTATCGCATTGCATATACATGCATGTATGCAACATGTACATACATACGTATTCGTAGAACAGAATTTTACACAATGAACTGACACTTTCGATATTTTTCTGGCCGCGGTTAAGTTTTAACCGACACAATGGACTCTGCTATATTGTGAAATTAACGTATATACATATATATATATTCATGTATGTGTAATGTAACGAGTATGCTTGTACCAATTATTTTGATGTGTAAAATTGACATATGTAGAACCCACGACATAATGTTCTAATTCAGTTTTCATTAAAGAGAAACAAATTTCTGATGAAAAATCTCAAAGCCGATAAGGTTAGTTTGTTACGACAAGCAACAACATATAGAAAAGTTACTTACGACTCGTATGTTGTACACGTAGACACGAAAATGCAATACAATTTCGAGAGATACCTATCTTCGGTATGCGTTCAGACAGGAAATAAGCGGACTCTTAAAGCACAAGCTCAGAAAAAAACTACTTTACATTCTTGTAGCTAGAAAAACGTTCACCGGAGTGAAGTACGGCTTAAAGATTATCGATATATTTTCAGCACCGAGATCATTGTAACTTACGTACCTGTCTACTTACATGAATTATAACTTAAGTAATTACATAAATACAAATTTCAGCGGGCGATATAATTGCGAAGATTTAATGTAAAATGGTAATCGTAATTTGCGAATTGTGTTCAGGTACGTATTATCGGACCATCGTGATGTATTACAATGTGACGTAGCTACTACACGTCATATCGTACGATTCTTGTAACCCTTACTACCAGCTCGTGAATTTTTGTTTCAATGTGTGCATTTAGTATCATGGAAATCACACACGCACGCGCGCACGCACGACGCACGCCGCATGCACGCACACACGCACGCACACAAATTTAGGATTCAGATCATGAACAAGTATAAAAAATTGTACATATTATTATATGTATTTACAGGTTTAAAGAAACTAGAAAATTGTACATAACATGAAATTTTATAAATATTCATAAAAAGCAGACATAAAATGTTAAACTTATTAATAAAACATTTTAAACGATCCTTTTTTATAGAGTTATAAACTAAAATGCTTTTTATAGTATCTACACTTTCAACAACATCAACAAAAGAGTGGTGTTATACATATATATGTATATTTGAAATGCATCTTTGTTCTAAGAGTATCAAACATTCATGGAAAATATGTCCGAGAATTTATTATTGCAGAAATTTCTTTTTCATATGTTTCAAACTATGATCTACCAAGTGATAATAATATCATTATAATAACACAGTATAATAAATGTATTGACTTGCGCTTCTATTGTGATGGTCATTTGAAAGGAGTATAAAAAGTTGTGAATATCTAATTTTTAAAACAATATACAATTATATTATTGTTCTTTATACGGTTATACTCTGGTCTCTAATTTAGCGATAAGATCGTGCACACTTTCTATAATGCTGTATATATAAGGACGTTCCATTGGGTTTACCTTTAACATTGATAAAATTAGATTTTGCATATCCTGGAAAATTTTAAATTCAAACATTAGATTGACAAATCTTTCTTAGATGAGTACAAAGGAATACATATTGCTTAACAACCTCGTTATAAGGAGCATCTTCTGGGAATGTAACATTTGCGCTCATAACTGCTAGAGCTACGCTATCTCCCCTTTCATAAACAGCATCGAAGGGTGATTTAAAGTAGCAAAGTGCGTAAAGTATACAACCTAGAGACTGGAGAAGCATATGATAAATGTTATCAAGAATAGAAATAGCACGATACATTTGAGAAATTCTGTTGATACAATACCCAAATATCTGTTCGTTCATCTATCATACAATAACTTTCCACATTAAATAATTCTGGCGCTCTGTATGGCATTGAACACCTTTCAGCTGCTATGTCTTGCAATGTTTGTGCCGCTTGAGATCCGCATACTTTGACTCTGGCAGGTGCTACAGAACCTAAAACAAGTAATATTAATGTAATGATGCTTGACGTATTAAAACGATTTACTACAGTTATAATGTTTCACCTAAATCCATTATAATTGACGTGCTTCCATCACCAAGGACTATATTAGCAGTTTTTAGATCTCTATGAGCAAGAGGATCCGGTTTAGCTTCATGAAATGCTTTCACACCTTCGCATATTTGTAAAAATATATTTAAGATGTCAATCGAACTCATGTAATCTTTGTTTTTAATTCGTCTTTCCAACTCGTTTGCAAGCGTACCTCTCTGAATAAGAAATAAAAATAAAAATGTGATCGAATAAACTAATGTCTTTCGCTATTATTTGTATTTTTTCAAATGATATATAAAACATAAAACATACATGATAATATGGTAAAACAATTAATACTTCACTGGTTGTATTAATAACTGAATCCGTGGTTCCCTTGTAAGTTGAATCTATGCATTCTATTACATTTGGGTGTTTCACAAGATTGTGGTACTCTATTTCTTTTGCGGCTAGCCTCTGATCTTCCAAACCGTGGCAGATAATCTTTTTAATAGCATACTTTTTATGTGTTTCTGTATCTTCGACTAAAAGTACAGTACTAAATCCTCTGCAAATAGATTGGAATTTAATTAATTGCAGTAATTATTTTTATGTATAACTCGTCAACATTACCATAAAAAAGGGTTAGAATAGGTTAATCAAGATCGTATTAAAACGTATCTTGCTAATAACTAGAAAAACATATTACGAAATATGTGATCAAATTAAAAAATAATTAGACAAATTAACTTGAACGATACTATTATGGTAATTGACAAAAATGTACATTTCACGTCAAACTTGCCCTTCTCCAAGATGTTCACGAACTATATAATTTCTTGAATTTACCGTGACAGTTTCTTTGGAGCATAGACAGCCCATTTTTAAAATTAAACTTAAACCAAGGCTATTCATTTTCAGTCACGCATAATAAAAGAAATAAAAAAAACAGTAACACCGACGCGTTTCTTTATCGGCGTGCAAACATTTCTATATACGTCACGAACATGCATATGTCACCAGTTACGAGTTACGAATTACGAGTTACCATGTCAATGTCTACGTATGCATGTATGTATGTAATCGGCTATCAGCTGTTTGCAAAACAATGTTGTTGGAGATGTTACATAAATTAATTAATTCAAATTTTTGATAAAAAAAAAATGTACAACGAGAAAACCAACATTTAGATTTACAACGAAAGATTATTTCAAATTATATAAGAATAAATTACACAATGATACCGTAAGATCCCGATATTTTTATTAAATTCAAGTTGATACGAGCTGCCATTATCTGCAATCGTAACTATGGGTAAAGAAGATATTTTCAAAGTAATACATCTATTTTTATTGAAAAAAACTTGTTTCCATGCTATGCCGAAAAAATAACGTATGTATATATGTAACACATTATCTTCGTTACACTAGACACTGTACTTCTTTCTATGGATGTTTTTTGCAAGCTATTATTTTTGGGGGTCACAAGAGGAGACTGTAACACATCCTATCGACGAATCAGGTTGGGTACCCGATGGGGCATTTGCAAGTAGAACTGTTGACGCAACAGAAGATCAAGGAAGCTAGGAATTTTTTAATCTCATTTGATTCGAAGAACCAACGAACGTCATAAACGATTTTCATGAAATCCTTTTGTAGAATCTTTTGTTTAGAGCTAACACTTAGGTGTACACCATAGAAGAGTAAAGGTTTTGTAAATATTACGTATACATTATGTTGTTTTCATTCCCAAATCTATTCCATGAAAAAGTAAAACTTTTATTATGAAATATTTCGTTTATTCTTAAAAACATTAATGCAAAACATGCTAGTCTCTAATTAGGACTGTAAGACTGATTATTATCACATTTTTATTCTTACACGTATAAGTGAGGAAAATATAGAATAAACAGAACAGTAATGCTCTGCTTTAAAAATTCATAATTTGCTTTTCAATAAAATACTCTACAACAAAGGTAAATTCTTATTGTTTTCTAGAAAAACATACACGCGATTTCTCTTTGCGGTTTCTCTTTTCACGAAATATAAGTTAAAGATTGAAATTTTTGTTTCTTTTTCTCTAAGATGTTGATGCGTCGGCCTCCAATTGAACATCGCCATTCGACGATTTAGTAGCATCCTGATCGTTTTGTAGCTGCGCTTGCCACATGGAACAATACATTCCATTGTGTGAAATAAGCTCTTCGTGTTTGCCTCTTTCTACGATTTCTCCATCTTTCAAGACAAGAATTTCATCGACATGTATTATCGTGGACAATCGGTGCGCTATGATAATAGTTGTTCGATTATAGCACACTCTACTCAACGCTGCTTGAATATTACGCTCTGTATGGGTGTCGAGTGCACTTGTTGCTTCATCTAGAAGTACAACTACTGGTTCTTTTAGTATTGTTCGCGCGATAGCAATACGTTGCTTTTCTCCACCGCTCAAGCGAAGACCTCTTTCGCCAACCTAAGTATTTCGAGTGGAAATACAGGATTTAAATCATGATTAATACGTGGTAAAATCAAATGCGACTCGACAAACATAAGCAACACGTACCTGTGTCTCGTAACCATTTGGAAACGAGAGAATTCGTTCGTGTATATCTGCATTTTGAGCTGCCGCGATTACATCCGCATCTACAGCCTCGATACGACCGTATCGAATATTATACTTTATAGTATTGTTAAATAACACTGTGTCTTGAGGTACAACACCTATCGCCCGTCGTAACGAATCTTGCTTAACCGTTTTTATATTCTGTCCGTCGATCAATATCGCGCCTTGTTCTATATCATAGAACCTGAACAACAATCGTACTATAGTCGATTTACCAGCTCCAGATGGTCCAACTAAAGCAACGCTTTTCCCTGCCGAAACAATGAAACTAACATTCTTCAAAATAATTTTCTCGGGACTGTAACCAAAAGTCACATTCGAAAACTCCACTTGACCATTTTTTACTATCAATGGTCCTGCACCTGGCGCATCGATTATTTCCTGGTCTTCTCGAAGGAGATCAAACATATTTTCCATGTCAATGAAATTCTTTTGTATTGCGCTGTAAGGAATAAATAACTTTCAAGCGAATCGTATATTATAAACTTAACAAAAATGACTGAACCATTGTTTACCGATAGTATGTCCCAAACCAATTCAATGGCACGTAAAGTTGGATGATGTAAGTTGTAAACAAAACATAATCACCAAGTGTTAAACCTTGATCGGTCACAACCTAAAAACAATTTGTTGCTCGCATGTAATTGATTTTGTTAAAGTTTGAATGGTGTGAGAAATATTTTACGCATGCTGACCATGTGTACACAAAGTAAAGATCCAGCCAGCAGGCCACTACAAACGACTATATTTTGTAATGTATTTAATATATTTAACGTAATCATCGACTTCCATTCCTCTGCTTGGAACGTTATTATCGCTTTCCTAAAGCTGTCCACTTCATACGTTTCTGCTCCATAATATTTAACTGTCTCGAAATTGAGTAGACTGTCAACGCTTTGTGCTCTCTGAGCATTGTCTGCTAGATTCATGCGCCTTTGGAACTTAGTACGCCACTCAGTAACCATGATTGTTGCGGCTAACAAAAATGTTTCTTATAAAATATAGGAAAGTTGTAGAATATATTTATATAATGACGTGCTCACCTATATAGAGACTCATAGTTATAAATACGATTAATCCGAACCACTTGTTAAATGCGCTTATGAAAAACACAACGGCTACGATAATGTCAACGATTGTCGGTACAATAGAAAAGAGAACGTAATTGAGAAGATTGTTTATAGAGTCCGTTCCACGATCCATAGCTTTCAACACTTCTCCGGTTTTCCTCCCAAGATGCCAGCGTAAACTCAGACTATGTAAATGTCTACAAAAATAGTTATTGCAAGAATGCAATGTGAATGTTGCATCAACCAACTAGATTTGAAAAAGAACATCTCGCGAATAATTACCTGAACAACTCCACTTCAATTTCTCTAGTAGTATATTGTTGTATTTGAATCCATAAATACGATCTGGCATTATTAAGTGCCCCCATGGAACCTGTACCTCCTCCTTGTAAGAATTTGAATCCCACATATATTAATACGAAATCCCACCTATTACAAGGATCATAGATGAAATATACTGAATAAAGCTCTTATTGACTATTCAAGGATCTTTTGGAAAGTGACTGAATACCTGAATGATCTGGGATGACCAGTAATACTGTCCGCGATCTTTCCATTATAAATTGGAACATATAAATTGATTAAACGTCCAAGTATAAGTAGCGCAAAACAAAAAACAACCCTCAGTTGAAGCATAATGCTGTTTTTAGGCCATAGAAACGGCGCTAAAACTTTCACCTTATACAAAGCATTCTTCCATGCAGAAGAGTTATCGTCGGGTCTCTAAAGATTGTCGCGCATATTATGAAATATATTAGATTATATTAAATTATATTTAAACTAACTTGGGTAAATGAGGAACATTAGGGCTACAAGACCGTTGTTATTGAAACAAGATTATATCACTGCGACTTACACCTTGATAATATCGTGGCCGTGTAGTTGGACCATTTGGTAAAGTACGATACTCTGGTTCTAAGTTACCAGCTAGTCCTGGGGCTTTGAGTCCTAAGGCAAAGATAATCAAATTGCTGACATAACGCAGAACAAACAGTGCCATCTCAATTTGATCGGTCAATCTGTAAATAGTATGCATGTATACATAGAAAATGTTCCACTACATGCGATACTCGAGACGCAGAGTGCTGCTGTTTCAATGTCATTCTGCAGAACTTACGTGTTAAGATGAAACCACCATTCGAGTTTCTCAATATTAACAAAAACAAGATTTTCAACAACAAATGCCAAGGTCCAGAAACCTAATAAAACAATACCATGACCACGTGGTGGCACACTGGGTAGCAACTTATGCCTTTCTATCTTTAATAGGTACACAGAGTATGGATATACAATTACAGTTAAACCTGTTGTAAGAATCTAAAAGCATTAAAATAATAGAAAAAATTCAATGATCAAGTATTATCATATATATATATATATATATATATATATATAATATAGATAAATTAATGTATAGATTACCTACCATATAACCATAAACCTTTTTATCATCTAAAATTGTACCTTGGAAGATTATTCTCAGTACACTAAGTATTGGAACAAAGTATAAGAGAACTTTCTGTAGAATGTAAAGCTTATTTTTGGGTAACGAAGATGCAGAATTTTCTGTTCCATATTTACGGTACATCCACAGTTGTATTGTACCAAAAATTAACAGATACAATGAAATCGCAACAGTATTAATAGTATCCATGAAACATTTTGACATGCCATGGTTTACCCAGATTTCGGTAAATGTTATATTTGGAGGACAATAAGTCATTGTGGTATTCATTTTGAATTGTTTCTTGTTTATCTTTCTTCCATTAAAAAATATAAATAATCAATTCATTGTTTTCATTTCTGTATCACGTTTAACTTTAAATCAGCTACTAATCAAGAAGAATATCTGAAAAATTATACGAAACGTATTATTCGCTTATCCTAAAATCTTATGTATGTCATTATAGATATAATTAATTGTTTTGGTCGTATAGAAGCTTATCTTACATCTTATCATGGCACGATTACATAAGCTTCATTACAATTTATATTTCAATCAACTAAATGTTATGTTACACAAGAGAAATTAATTAACAAATTTTTAAAAAAGTGGAATTTTACTGTATTTTCTTTCTTAAAGAATGAAAATAACTTTTTAAC